ATCCATCCATCCATCCATCCATCCAGCCATCCATCAACCATACACTTCCAGATCTTCTTGGGGGAATCCAAGTGGTTCCCAGTTCAACTGAGGCAGTCTTTCCAAAGTGTCCTGGGGTCTCCTCCCCTAGGGAGGGGTCTATAGGTCAACCAGACCATATGAACCACCTCAGCTGGTTCCTCTGGATGTGGAGGAGCAGCAGCTCTACTCTGAGTCTCTCCAGGAGAACTGAACTAGAGTCCAGCTACTCTGCAGAAAAAAAGCATTCGGACCTCCTGGATCTGAGATCTGGTTCTTTCAGTCACAAGCCAGAATACCTGACCACAGGTGAGGGTAGGAAGGTAAACAGAGAGCTTCTCCTACAGCTCAGCTCCTCTGAAGCACATCGGACCAACACAGAGTCCAGAATCATTCTCTCTTTCTTTGCTTTGATTTATTTATTTAACACACAAATAAAAACGATTGAGTTCAATACTTCATGTGCATGGAAGTGGTAGAAGCCTGAATGGGCTTACATGAAAKCAAAATCAAACTACAACACAGTAGAAATAATAATCAATATCAATTTAAAAATCATCATCCAGGTTCACATTTCAGACCATGTTTTTATGCTTACAGTCAGCAATCCTGCAGAAGCCGCACTGACCCATGTTCAGGCTCCATTAAAAAATGTTTAACTTTTATTCTGCCAGTTTAACCTCGGAGCAGAACAGAAAACAGAACCTCTGTCAGAGTTTCCAGAAGGAGAAGAAAGTGACTAACAGAAGCTCTGTGGCCAAAGGAAAAAAACAAAAAACTGTGGTGCTGGAGCAAAAACAAATAACCTCATTTATTAAACACGACGTTTCTCTGGACGCCTCAGAAAGAAGTGAAACACAGAAAGCTTCAGTTTGACTTGTTTAGGAATCAATGAGAAATGTCCTGTTTCTGCAGCTGAAAAGAAAAAAATACAATATGTGCTGCAGAAAGGTTGTTTTCCTTTTATTCCTGGGGTCAGAAACTTTTACCTACAATCTGTAAAATCAAGAACTGGTTTGTGAGACTAAATAAAATCCTCTCTGTGTGACTAAAAACTGTTCAACAGTTTAGATCCCCTGTTTTCGAAAAGATTTACAACAAACTCAACATGAAGTTTAACCCTCCTCCTGCTCCGGTCTCTTCAGCATCTGGAACAATTTACAATAATCTGAAATAATCTGTTATAAAATGAGCCACCGGGTGCTCCAGGTAGACCTGGTTCCACCAGGGTCTCCCAGGATCCCTATGGTTGAGGTGGTTTTTGCATCACTCCTAGTGTCAACCAGGCCTTAGGACCAGGGGCCATGTGACACCCAAGCAACATGGCCCCTAAGACCATGGAGGTGTAAGAACTGCTCCACCATCTTAGTCTGAGGACTCAGTTCTTGGTTTGAGCAGAAGACTTCAGATCTCTGGTACAGACCCAAAGAACCAGAACCTGGATCCAAGCAGCTGAAAAGATCTTTGACCTGCAGGGCAGCTGGGCTGAGGTTCATCTGGTCAGGAGGCCTCCCTTCAGAGGAGACCACCAGGCAGAACCAGACCTCTACTCATCCATCAATGAACCAACATCGATCAATCATCCAACATCCATCCATCAATCATCCAACATCCATCCATCAATCATCCAACATCCATCCATCAATCATCCAACATCCATCCATCAGTCATCCAACATCCATCCATCAATCAACCAACATCCACCTATCAATCATCCATCAATCATCCAACATCCATCCAACATCCATCTATCAATCATCCATCAATCATCCAACATCCATCAATCAATCATCCATCCATCCATCCATCCATCAATCATCCAACCATTAATCATCCAACACCCATCTATCAATCATCCATCAATCATCCAACATCCATCTATCAATCATCCATCTATTTATCCATGGACTGATAAATGGATGGTTGGATGGATGGATGGATGGATGGATGGATAAATGGATGGATGTTTGGTTGGATGATGGATGGATGGATAGATGATGGATGATTGATGGATGATGGATGGATGGATGGATGGATTAGTTTGTTGGATGTATGTATGTTTGTATGTATGTATGTATGTATGTATGTATGTATGTATGTATGTATGTATGTATGTATGTATGTATGTA